AAACTTACACGTCCTCTAATAGATGGACAGTAATAGTTAGAAACTTAACACGGTCCTCTAATAGATGGACATAATAGTTGTAAACTTAACACGGTCCTCTAATAGATGGACAGTAATAGTTGAAACTTAACACGGTCCTCTAATAGATGGACATTAATAGTTGAAACTTAACACGGTCCTCTAATAGATGGACAGTAATAGTTGAAACTTAACACGGTTCTCTAATATATTTCACTTGCAAATATTGATTCTTAATATGTAGCTTTGAATAAACTGTCCACCTGGACATGGTTAAACTTAGAAGTTTCTGCGATATTGTAGTTGCTTTCATCAGTTCAGGGAGGTTTTGTAATTGGCTGGTATTTTTGTTGTGATTCAGTGTGTTGATTTAGTTGTTTCTGAGCATTGCCCTCAACCTGAAAAAATAAAACACCAACTAAAACAACAATAAATTCATATTCATAACTTTTCCTGTAATTTTCATAAAAAATACAACTTTTGCAGCTTTTCTCCGGTTCAAAAATGTAGCATGGGATAAGTTGGTCCCTTTAATTATTATTACATCCTTTTTAAATCAGCAACTTGACGGTGATAGTGTGAATGGTTGGTTGAAGAAAAAAGTTTTTTTGTACTTTTTGTCTTATTCAAATATAATGTTCACCAGGCTCTGTTGGTTTTATCAGTTGGATATCTGTTCAATACAACCCACCTTTCTTATTTCTAAACTTCAGCTCTTGTGGAACTAGAAGAGAATAAATGATCTGTGTAACTTATAAGAAATACAACATTCAATAATTTTGAATAGGTAGGATTATATAATCTGTAGTTTGCAAGAGTTTTCTGACTGATGGAACTAGAAGAGAATAAATGAAGAGCTGCAAAACCTAGAAACCTTACACTTTTACAGGCATTTTTTGGTAATATCGGATTGCAGTATTGCAAATACACATGGTTATAAGTATATTCGTGTTTTGTGTTTTGGTAAACTGTGTCAATCTTAACAGCAAAGGACTCGTGTTTTGTTTGTAATACCTTATACATATTTTCTAGTTATTTTCACTTGATCATATTAGCTATAATGTGGAAAATCATTTTTCAATAAATTTTTAGTTAACATTGCATTCGTGATAATGATAGTTTTGGTCTTCTTCTGTATTAATTTATAACATTTAGTATTTCTAGCTGGTTTGTTGTTCAGAATTTTTGTCATTAGTTTATAAATTATTTTTTTAAATTATCCTAGTTCTGATCGTTATAGCTAGCTTACTTCTGGTAAAAATTTCTGAATAAATACAGTATGAATTAATTATACCTAAAACGGTAATAAAAATTTGCTCTAAATTTTTTTTACTGGTTCATTTCAACCTATTTTTAAAACAATTATATATTTTAAACGTTATTTGAGGGCTTGAATAATAAAAAGGTGTTTGTCAGTCTCATCTTTTCTTTACAGCATACTCATTGCTCAAGACTGATCCCTATTATCACCTCTAATTTAGCCTCCAAATCTAAAGAAATCAGAAAGTAAGTAATGTTTATATGATATTGAATAAGAAAAGTAAAGAAATATTTGTATCTGGTTGACTAAAATAACCTGGCTTATGTTTTTGTTACCTTAAATGATATAAGAGTTATTTTTACAGTTCCCATAACTCCTGTAAAATAATCAAACTGTAGTTTCCCTTGTGGCCAATTTAGCTAGTACACCTTTTTTCTTTTCATCAGTGTTTGGTTCAGTGGCCATGTATGGCTCATAAGAATGATTTTTATTTAACTAAAACTAGAAAAATAAATAATATTTTTGACACAATTGTTAACACCTACATTTTAATTTTTTAAAACTTGTAAATGAATTTGGTAATATTCTTCATTTCCTGAAAATTATTTAAATAGATAATTAACACAATTTAGCATAGGTTTCTTTAATAAGGCATAAATCAATTAGACCAAAATAATTTCTCTGACTTATTAATAGTCACGAACTATTTTCGGATACATTAGCAGTGAAATTAATTGGTTGTAAATAAAATATTTTGATAATTGATGACTAACTTGTTAACATTGCTGTTTGAATATGTTTTATCCTTTAGGAGTTCAAATAAGTTTCTGTTCTAGCAACCTTTGTCTATTTATCTAACTTATATAAAAGCCAGTGTGTGTGTCACGTCACGCTTGATTTCTTGAAATAGGAGTCATCATAAAAGCCAAAATGCATTTATCCAAATAGAATATTTCGATTATTGTCTGCCCATTACAATTTTAGTGGTAAGGGGGCCGTGAGGGGGTGTGTGTGTGTGTGTGCTGTGAAACCTTCTAAGTGTAGTGAGTGTTGGTATAATGAGCTAAAATAAAGACGTAGTGTGGGATCACCTAGCCTGAAGCCAAGTACATAAAATTTATCATGAAAGTAAAAATATCAATTCAATTATAAACTTTAATCATTTCTAATAAGAAACAAACCTTTTTTATCAACAAAGACTCTAAATTAAAAAATCAACAAATATTTTTCCAGTTTTGTTGTCTATACATTTAAT